CCATTTACCCTCACCTGTCTTTCTCGTTCTCTAACAAACTCTGCATGCCTCTCATCCAGGGGGTGAATAGGGTAGGGAGGATCTCTATGGGGGTGGACTAAGTAAGGATGAAGCACGGGTACTTCATGAGCTGGGAGGAACATTCTTTTGTATTCTCCAGGTCGCCCCATCTTAGACACCAGTGCTGGGTCACCTCGGACATGAAGACCATGACTTCTAGGTGGCTCAGATGAGCTTGATGTTGGTGCCCCTCCAGGTGTGCCATGTCCATGAACAGGACAGGATCCTGGTTTATGTTCCTGGTAGAACCCCCGTGGAAGAGGTCCCTCTCCAGAACTCCTTTCTGGTTCCCCTTGGGCACCATCACTTTGTTTTTCTTTCTTTGCAGATTCACTTCCTTCCTAAAAATTCAAAGGTTTCATGAGAGATGGAAAAGTCAAGAATTGGTGTCAAAAATATAGAAAGATAAAACTTCAAAGCTTTAGTATGTAATTATTAACTGAGGTGTCTGTTCAAATACAACATAATATCTTTTTGAACATTGTGAAATCAAGCTACAGAGTCATGAAAACATTTAGAGCACTTACACCATATGTTTGTGAACTGTACTTCTTAAAAATACTGCTAAATAGCTTGCATTTGAATGGTCACACACTACTGTACACATATACACATACAGCATTTAGCGCAATTTCATTCACAGACAAAGTCAAGATCCTTGTTAATTAGCACATTATTATATCACTTGTGTTTGTAGCTGATATAACACACGCTCTGATTAGATAATTCTAAGGCATTATTCTCCCCTAATGCCCATGGACCATTTACAGGCCTGCAAAAGCAAAGCAAAAAGCCATATTATAATAAACAGCTTATTAACCTTGAACATTCGGTCTTTACAGGAAAATCTCAAACCTTGGCCTTGCCGTATTGATCAAGCGATAGCAAGGTCGATATGGCAAGGTATCAGTTTGAGATTTTCCCATAAAGACCTCACTCTTGATTAATAAGTACATGTAGTTAGTAAGACTAACTGAGTAAAGGGTTATTATTAATATTTAGTCCTTGTTTTGTGTGGTTAGTATGGAGCTAACTCTTTGCTGCAGTGCACTAACATGGTCAAGCCTTCTATAAGAACAATAAAATCCTGTTCAAACCTGTTTCCTGCTTTCCCTTGCCTCAGGAGTATCTCCAGGTCTTAGGTGTGGAGAGTTCTTCCTGACAAATGGCTCAACACTTCCTGGTGGTAAATGTCGAGCCGGTTCCCCAACATGGCCGACATGAATGTCATATGATGGCTCCACAATTATTGTACCGTCTGGCAAAATTGAATGTCGCTCATGCTGCTGCCGTAAATGTTCTGCTGCTCGCTGTTGCCTCCAGGTGCTGAAACGTACATCATGTGGATCTAATACCTACGGGAAATGGACATCAAGTTATTAATCAATACTGACTGCTGTTGTGCTTGGACCCTCTTAACTAAAGTCACGAAAACTTATATAAGTACAACTACTTCAAATTTGCTATGACACCTAATATAACCTTCAGGTTACAGCTGCAGTAACAAACAAAACAAGTTACTTTGCCTCCTACAAGTCACAACAACAGTGTCTTAAATTCAAACACTACTGATAACCACTTTTAGCCCAAAAAGAAATTATTTTTTCCAGATTACAAAAATAACAGAGTCATCTTACTGGTGGAGGGTAAGGTGTTGGGTAGAATGCTGGTAACATGTGGGCCTCTGGACCCTCTCGTTTGGAGGCCAGGAGGGGAGGGGGCCCAGGTGGATGGGCTCCTCGAGGCACATATATGGGCATCTTGTCATAAGCTGGATAGAAGGCTACAGGAGCATGAGGAGGCTCTGCGCCTGGATAGTGCTCCGACAGCATGGGCACTTCTGAATGACCTGAACGAGAGAATACAATAAGTACCGACGGTTCACACATTGCAACCAAGTTATAACATGTTTGAGGAATTACACACTATGACTGGTCAGTTTGGGCTCCTTGTACTGTAGCTCCATAAAGCACAGAACCTATGTCACATGAATGCTTTACTGAGTAATAATACACGTGGCCCAGGTCACAAGCTTGAGTGTGTGCAGTTTCTTAAACATGAGCATTTTAAAGAATACATTCAACTTGGCCTTCTTGCATTATAGCTCAAGTTATATGAAGAGCACTTGAGAATTCTTAAGAACTCACAGGAAGTGAGAGAAGCACTCCTCTTGTGTTCTTAAAACCTTATTTCATTTCATTCTCAGGATTGAACTTCAAGTTGGCTATCATTAACATTTAAGTAGATGTGTTTGAAACATAACTGTGCAACTACATGTATCCTAATGGAAGCCAGAAGTAAAATCAGTAGTAACATAAAGAGCCTGATGATAAAAATCAGCCAGATATAATTATTCTGACAACATAACAATCCTATTAAATTATGAGAATCATACATTTCTTACTTTTAGACAACTTTGATTTTCAAATTTGTGATTATAATATTTAAACCATATCATTAGTCAAGAATCACTTTGTTTTTGCTTTCTGTACTGCCAGGCCAGAATCAGTGTAGCCTGAAGGAGTTGAGTCTTTTTAAGCTGTTCAACACAAACAATAGAGCATAAAGGCCTAAAATATGCATTTAGCCAAACAACAGAATGACAAAAAATGGACAGGTGTCTGATGTAATTCCATTCACACTTCTTTCGTGATTAAGAAATCAAAAAAAGTTTTTCCAAAAACATTTAAGCCCATCTTAGTTTACATTGTTCCTGAAAACCATTTACCCTCACCTGTCTTTCTCGTTCTCTAACAAACTCTGCATGCCTCTCATCCAGGGGGTGAATAGGGTAGGGAGGATCTCTATGGGGGTGGACTAAGTAAGGATGAAGCACGGGTACTTCATGAGCTGGGAGGAACATTCTTTTGTATTCTCCAGGTCGCCCCATCTTAGACACCAGTGCTGGGTCACCTCGGACATGAAGACCATGACTTCTAGGTGGCTCAGATGAGCTTGATGTTGGTGCCCCTCCAGGTGTGCCATGTCCATGAACAGGACAGGATCCTGGTTTATGTTCCTGGTAGAACCCCCGTGGAAGAGGTCCCTCTCCAGAACTCCTTTCTGGTTCCCCTTGGGCACCATCACTTTGTTTTTCTTTCTTTGCAGATTCACTTCCTTCCTAAAAATTCAAAGGTTTCATGAGAGATGGAAAAGTCAAGAATTTGTGGCAAAAATATAGAAAGATAAAACTTCAAAGCTTTAGTATGTAATTATTAACTGAGGTGTCTGTTCAAATACAACATAATATCTTTTTGAACATTGTGAAATCAAGCTACAGAGTCATGAAAACATTTAGAGCACTTACACCATATGTTTGTGAACTGTACTTCTTAAAAATACTGCTAAATAGCTTGCATTTGAATGGTCACACACTACTGTACACATATACACATACAGCATTTAGCGCAATTTCATTCACAGACAAAGTCAAGATCCTTGTTAATTAGCACATTATTATATCACTTGTGTTTGTAGCTGATATAACACACGCTCTGATTAGATAATTCTAAGGCATTATTCTCCCCTAATGCCCATGGACCATTTACAGGCCTGCAAAAGCAAAGCAAAAAGCCATATTATAATAAACAGCTTATTAACCTTGAACATTCGGTCTTTACAGGAAAATCTCAAACCTTGGCCTTGCCGTATTGATCAAGCGATAGCAAGGTCGATATGGCAAGGTATCAGTTTGAGATTTTCCCATAAAGACCTCACTCTTGATTAATAAGTACATGTAGTTAGTAAGACTAACTGAGTAAAGGGTTATTATTAATATTTAGTCCTTGTTTTGTGTGGTTAGTATGGAGCTAACTCTTTGCTGCAGTGCACTAACATGGTCAAGCCTTCTATAAGAACAATAAAATCCTGTTCAAACCTGTTTCCTGCTTTCCCTTGCCTCAGGAGTATCTCCAGGTCTTAGGTGTGGAGAGTTCTTCCTGACAAATGGCTCAACACTTCCTGGTGGTAAATGTCGAGCCGGTTCCCCAACATGGCCGACATGAATGTCATATGATGGCTCCACAATTATTGTACCGTCTGGCAAAATTGAATGTCGCTCATGCTGCTGCCGTAAATGTTCTGCTGCTCGCTGTTGCCTCCAGGTGCTGAAACGTACATCATGTGGATCTAATACCTACGGGAAATGGACATCAAGTTATTAATCAATACTGACTGCTGTTGTGCTTGGACCCTCTTAACTAAAGTCACGAAAACTTATATAAGTACAACTACTTCAAATTTGCTATGACACCTAATATAACCTTCAGGTTACAGCTGCAGTAACAAACAAAACAAGTTACTTTGCCTCCTACAAGTCACAACAACAGTGTCTTAAATTCAAACACTACTGATAACCACTTTTAGCCCAAAAAGAAATTATTTTTTCCAGATTACAAAAATAACAGAGTCATCTTACTGGTGGAGGGTAAGGTGTTGGGTAGAATGCTGGTAACATGTGGGCCTCTGGACCCTCTCGTTTGGAGGCCAGGAGGGGAGGGGGCCCAGGTGGATGGGCTCCTCGAGGCACATATATGGGCATCTTGTCATAAGCTGGATAGAAGGCTACAGGAGCATGAGGAGGCTCTGCGCCTGGATAGTGCTCCGACAGCATGGGCACTTCTGAATGACCTGAACGAGAGAATACAATAAGTACCGACGGTTCACACATTGCAACCAAGTTATAACATGTTTGAGGAATTACACACTATGACTGGTCAGTTTGGGCTCCTTGTACTGTAGCTCCATAAAGCACAGAACCTATGTCACATGAATGCTTTACTGAGTAATAATACACGTGGCCCAGGTCACAAGCTTGAGTGTGTGCAGTTTCTTAAACATGAGCATTTTAAAGAATACATTCAACTTGGCCTTCTTGCATTATAGCTCAAGTTATATGAAGAGCACTTGAGAATTCTTAAGAACTCACAGGAAGTGAGAGAAGCACTCCTCTTGTGTTCTTAAAACCTTATTTCATTTCATTCTCAGGATTGAACTTCAAGTTGGCTATCATTAACATTTAAGTAGATGTGTTTGAAACATAACTGTGCAACTACATGTATCCTAATGGAAGCCAGAAGTAAAATCAGTAGTAACATAAAGAGCCTGATGATAAAAATCAGCCAGATATAATTATTCTGACAACATAACAATCCTATTAAATTATGAGAATCATACATTTCTTACTTTTAGACAACTTTGATTTTCAAATTTGTGATTATAATATTTAAACCATATCATTAGTCAAGAATCACTTTGTTTTTGCTTTCTGTACTGCCAGGCCAGAATCAGTGTAGCCTGAAGGAGTTGAGTCTTTTTAAGCTGTTCAACACAAACAATAGAGCATAAAGGCCTAAAATATGCATTTAGCCAAACAACAGAATGACAAAAAATGGACAGGTGTCTGATGTAATTCCATTCACACTTCTTTCGTGATTAAGAAATCAAAAAAAGTTTTTCCAAAAACATTTAAGCCCATCTTAGTTTACATTGTTCCTGAAATAATGATTTGAAATAACTAGGTATAGAGTCTGAATAGTGCCCTTCACATATGACTTCTCTTTTTTCCATCCCGGTGAAGTTACTAGTATAGGGTCTTTGACGCAATAAGAAATGCTCCATTTAAAAAGCTGCCCATCAATTGAAACAAAAATTTTTTTTTTAGAATTTTATGGTTTAAATTTCATTCCATGACTAGTGCTAAAAAGAATCAAAGATTAATACCAAAATTGAGAGACATACTGCAAGAAGATGACTATCATTTGACATCATAAACATGTTTAGTTCCCTCTTCTTGATATTTTTATCAGTGGTAATGTGTGAGTGATAATATACCGAGGGAAGAACTATTGCACAGCAACGGGCGATTGTAAGTTGAGTAGAACCTCAGATTATTCATGAATAGCTTGTTGATAAAAGACAAAACACCAAAATATGATTCAGTGTAAAGTATTACAAATGTTGAGGAAACATCATCTTTAGGTAGCAAAATGATTTGTTCTTCTTGGAAATGGTATAAAATTTAATGCTTCAAGTGCTAATATCTGTAAAGCAAAAGTCACAGACAAGGAGACAAGTTGAATTGCCGGTAGATCTACATAAACCGAGCATGGCAACATTTACATATAACATTGAATAAACAGGAAACCCTAATCTGAATTAACTGCTGGCAGATATCTGTTTGTAGATTAATGCGACTTGCTTTTGATCGCTCAAATTAATTGACAGTGAATAGACATCAAAAATAATTTTTCACAAGAAATGCAACACATCTCTATGTAAAAGAGTTTTGTGGAAGAATATTGATAAGTAGCATTATTGTAAATGACCTGCTATTCAAGACAAATAAGAAAGTGTTTTGGTGTTATCTGCTAATGAGAGAGAAAGGTCTGGACTTCTGGGATCAAACCTTTATATTTTCAAATATCCACAATAAACTTAACTCCAATTTAAACTAAAAAAGATAACTTAAAAACCTCAAAGAAATGCAAGACACTGTAAAATATTTTATGGTTCTAAGTCCTTTCATATGAAAACCTTGTGTAATTATAAATAACCCCCTACCAAACATGAATAAATATTGTTCAAATTTTACACAAAATAAACCAAGACATGCATGTAGCCCTCCTAGAAAACAAGGAAATATTCCCTGTCAAGATGTCCCAAAATTTACCGAAAAAAACAGGATCGTACCTGATTCAAATCACCTTAAAAAGCCTCAAGAAAATCCACAATTCACTGATCTTATTAATTATTCAACAACAATGAAAGGCATAAGGAATGAACTTGTTTGGAGATTTCTACAGTCCTACCCTTTTGTCACTTTGCTAGGCAACTGAAATTTCCACAAGAGGAATGCAAATTGATGAATACTGAATTTAAACTTTTGTAAATCAACTCCCTGATCTCTCCCAAATTCAAAAACCTTGTAAACTGCCTTTGCAATCTACCTAGAAGTGCCTCAAACCATTTTGTTTCTTGTACAAATAATTCATTAAGTTACACTTTTAAAAAGACTTCTGTAAGATCTGCAATATGAGAATAACTGGCTCAACAATTGCTGCCTACCCTAGTTGTTTCTGAAGTCACAAAGACTGGCTGTAGCAGCTAACTGGGTGGCATGTTGCAAGACCTGAATCTGCTCTTGGTTGATGTTATGAAGGGAACGTAGTCAGAAATTCAGACAGGTGGCTTTAGCCAAATTAAAATAAACAAGGCTAAAAAGTGCAAGGCTCATTATTCAAATAACCAACATCCCAAGCAAAATGTGAATAAAATCACAATAAATCCTCATATGGATATGATTATAGAACAGTTGATCACACAAAAATGACTTCCTCAAATCTGCAGCAGTAAACACTTAGTACATCCACAAAGCCATTTTCCCCATTTCCCTTACAGTTCAATTCAAATTACATATATCCTCTTAAAGGTAAAATAATTCCCCACCTAGAACACTCTAGAGTGAGGACTAACAACTTGCCTTTGTTTTGTAATACGAATATCCTACCTCTAGCCACTGTTGAATAAACACCTGGCATCACTTCATGCCCCATCCGAGCCTGGTGGCTAACTTCTGGCCTTTGGGGACCCCTATTTGGGTCATGAGTTTGTTCACCTTCACAACAGAAATGATGATAAGATTTTATTATTGGTACAATGAAGAATTTCTTTAACCACTCTGAAGTCCAATTAATGAGACAACAATTATAGTAAAACCATCAAGTTAAAAAAAAAAACAACCTGCATTAGTGTTTAGATTAATTCTTTTAGAATTTTAATTTAGATTTATAGAAGAATATTAAGACAGATTCCACTCAAAGTTCGAGCTATAAGTGCAAATATTATTTACTAAAAATCTACTGATACCATGGTAACTTTTTGAATACTATTTAAAACATCTCACTGTTATTAATTTCTCTAACTGACCCTGCGATTAAATTCTCAAGCATTCTCGAAAAAATTAATGTCAAACCTCGTGAGAATGCTTAAGGCGTGTGTTATTGTGTTTACAACTGACATGAAACGTCTGTTTCAATTGAAATATGGATAACTTCAAGTTCAATTTTCTCCTGTGCAGGCAGCTTGAGAACTTAAATCTTGATAGGTTCTTCTTACCTTTACTCAAAATATTACCATGCTATGAGGTTTTTTTCGCACATGTAACTTTATTTTTGCCATTATTGCTCAAATGTTCTGCAGAAATCATCTTAACCTTCACAGATTTTTACAGGTCATAACAATTACTTCATATGATTTACTTTTGGATGAACCAAGGAGGGCTTGTAGCAGATACAGTTAGTCTGCATTTTCAGATAACCTTTGATTATCTCATTGCTTCTTACAATGTCAAAACAATGTCAACCACAAACAGGGAGAGAACGTTTATAGAACAGAGAAGTAGTTGTCAACTTCATGATATTATCTTGACATCAGGGCTTGAAAAAAGTGTCACTCAGTTATCCGGGACGAGTGGATTTTCCTTCTGGGCAAATAACTTTTCATTCTCACTGGCCCAATGGGTAAGGGCCCAGGCAAGTCATCTGCCAACAAAAAAAAACAACTAAATCTTGCCCAGGTAAGCAAAATTTGAGAGCTGCTTGTCCAAAGGGAAAATTGGAATTCAAGTTTTTTTCAACCCCTGTGATGTCAGGCACCAACTTTAAAAAATGTTTTGATGTTGGTGTTAGCATGGATAGGAGTAGCTGGCTGTGACAAATTACACTCCATAAGGCTACTCATTCTAGCAGAGGTTGGGGGCATGTACTCCCAGAAAAGTTTGAACTCTACAAGCTTGGATTAATATTAATGCTGTTTCCAGCAGTCTAGTATCAGTTTCTGAAATCAATTCTGAAGAGATCTAATAACAACAGCTGCATTTATTGTACTATTTATTGTACTATTTTTTTTCTTAGATGGCATTTAATGAAACTAGTCATTCCCCGCAAGAAGACAATAAGAATTTCTGAATATTAGTGACCATGGTATCCTACTTTACAAGTATACATGTATGTAGAGCACAAAAATCAAAAATACATGTAACTGTTCACTTTTTGGATCCAAAGAAAACAGTAGACATGCATGTACAGTATTTATTTCAAGTGTAAATTTATGTGTCTTTCTGTTAAAAAACGTTATTGAAACCCCTGATATATACGGGCTATTTCATATATTACCTGGGCGGTGATTTCTGTGATCTGGATCCAGTGTTGCAGTGGACGTCACAGGAGGGGTACGGTTAGGAATCACTCCTGGACTCTGATGATCTCCCCTATCTTTGGTATTCATTTCTGTTTGACTTGCTGATGGTGAGGTTCTGGATGGAGACATTCCTAAAAATAAATGAATAAAGAGATTTAACACTTGACAAATTAATGCACCTTTCTCATCTGTAATGGTTGTTTAACAATGACTCTATAATAATTAATATTGACATTGTGTAGTTACAGAAAATGTCCAATACCCACACCATAGAAGGCCACTGGAAATTCCAAGAAGGAAAAGGCTCTCAAAAGCCAAAAAATTTTAAAGGAAATTATGAAGCTAAACTGAAATTTCAGGAGGGGTGAAAATTATGCAGATTGCAAATTTTATTGTGGACAAATTCCTAAGGCAGTAAAGATGACAAGAATACCCTCGTGAAAACAGCACAAAGATGAAATCGAAAGAGGTTTGAGAAGATGAATTGCAAGTGAACTAGAGGTTGGGTGGTGAATTTTGAACGTGTGATGTAATCATGCATAATAAGACCAATTTCGAATGTGAAATTAGAATATTCACCGCTAGGCAAAGCTGTCTTGACTTTTTAAATTCAGTGATAATGACTGTCAAGGAGATACAAAAAACAAAAACATGAATTTTTTTTTTTAGTAAGTTCCACTGGTTTCTATAACGGACAAATTGAGCGGTTGTAGGGATGATTTTGCCTGCCTGGTTAGTCCATCTGGAGGAAACATTTTCTTATAAAGAAGTTCAGTTCAGCATGATGGTTATTGGTAATGAAATAAATACTGTCTTCAGAAATTACATGTAGAGAATTTAATACCCCTTGAATTTTGTTGTTAAAGCCGTAAAGATTCATAAACAATAATATTAACAATTCAACAATTTAATTTGTTAAAAATATTTACAAATTTAATTTTAAAATGCACATGAATTTAATGACTTCCTAATTTCATTTGTTGCCTCAGAAAAAAGCTGGAAAAAGTATGCTTAACATGGAGGATCAACAATTGAAAATTCTCACCTGTACTTTTTCCACTGACAGCAGAGATACTGGGTGAAACAGACTGAGAGCTGCTGTTTGATGGTGCAGGAGATGAGGTTGAAGACGGAACTGGTTTAGCTTGTTTGGCTAATTTTCGAAGGGCTGCTGCGAAACTAGCTTGACCTGCTGACATGGACGGGTCAGTGGACGCAGGTGCTGAATCTTTATTAAGCAACACAGGTTGTATTCCGGGTGACACTGAAGTTGTATAGTGCATGGGGGACGCATTTGAACTCTGGCTGTTGGTATTCAATTTCACTTTCTTGTTTTGCAGCTGGACCAAGCTACCATCACCCTCTTCACTTTCTTCGCTGGAGTCAATGACTATAACCCGTCCCTGGTTGCTAAGTTTCGATTTGCGTCCTTTGATATCACTCTCTTGGAGATTCTTGAAAGAAAACATAGAAACATCAGTGAATTTTATCTCTAGCAGTGAATGNTTTTTTTTTTAGAATTTTATGGTTTAAATTTCATTCCATGACTAGTGCTAAAAAGAATCAAAGATTAATACCAAAATTGAGAGACATACTGCAAGAAGATGACTATCATTTGACATCATAAACATGTTTAGTTCCCTCTTCTTGATATTTTTATCAGTGGTAATGTGTGAGTGATAATATACCGAGGGAAGAACTATTGCACAGCAACGGGCGATTGTAAGTTGAGTAGAACCTCAGATTATTCATGAATAGCTTGTTGATAAAAGACAAAACACCAAAATATGATTCAGTGTAAAGTATTACAAATGTTGAGGAAACATCATCTTTAGGTAGCAAAATGATTTGTTCTTCTTGGAAATGGTATAAAATTTAATGCTTCAAGTGCTAATATCTGTAAAGCAAAAGTCACAGACAAGGAGACAAGTTGAATTGCCGGTAGATCTACATAAACCGAGCATGGCAACATTTACATATAACATTGAATAAACAGGAAACCCTAATCTGAATTAACTGCTGGCAGATATCTGTTTGTAGATTAATGCGACTTGCTTTTGATCGCTCAAATTAATTGACAGTGAATAGACATCAAAAATAATTTTTCACAAGAAATGCAACACATCTCTATGTAAAAGAGTTTTGTGGAAGAATATTGATAAGTAGCATTATTGTAAATGACCTGCTATTCAAGACAAATAAGAAAGTGTTTTGGTGTTATCTGCTAATGAGAGAGAAAGGTCTGGACTTCTGGGATCAAACCTTTATATTTTCAAATATCCACAATAAACTTAACTCCAATTTAAACTAAAAAAGATAACTTAAAAACCTCAAAGAAATGCAAGACACTGTAAAATATTTTATGGTTCTAAGTCCTTTCATATGAAAACCTTGTGTAATTATAAATAACCCCCTACCAAACATGAATAAATATTGTTCAAATTTTACACAAAATAAACCAAGACATGCATGTAGCCCTCCTAGAAAACAAGGAAATATTCCCTGTCAAGATGTCCCAAAATTTACCGAAAAAAACAGGATCGTACCTGATTCAAATCACCTTAAAAAGCCTCAAGAAAATCCACAATTCACTGATCTTATTAATTATTCAACAACAATGAAAGGCATAAGGAATGAACTTGTTTGGAGATTTCTACAGTCCTACCCTTTTGTCACTTTGCTAGGCAACTGAAATTTCCACAAGAGGAATGCAAATTGATGAATACTGAATTTAAACTTTTGTAAATCAACTCCCTGATCTCTCCCAAATTCAAAAACCTTGTAAACTGCCTTTGCAATCTACCTAGAAGTGCCTCAAACCATTTTGTTTCTTGTACAAATAATTCATTAAGTTACACTTTTAAAAAGACTTCTGTAAGATCTGCAATATGAGAATAACTGGCTCAACAATTGCTGCCTACCCTAGTTGTTTCTGAAGTCACAAAGACTGGCTGTAGCAGCTAACTGGGTGGCATGTTGCAAGACCTGAATCTGCTCTTGGTTGATGTTATGAAGGGAACGTAGTCAGAAATTCAGACAGGTGGCTTTAGCCAAATTAAAATAAACAAGGCTAAAAAGTGCAAGGCTCATTATTCAAATAACCAACATCCCAAGCAAAATGTGAATAAAATCACAATAAATCCTCATATGGATATGATTATAGAACAGTTGATCACACAAAAATGACTTCCTCAAATCTGCAGCAGTAAACACTTAGTACATCCACAAAGCCATTTTCCCCATTTCCCTTACAGTTCAATTCAAATTACATATATCCTCTTAAAGGTAAAATAATTCCCCACCTAGAACACTCTAGAGTGAGGACTAACAACTTGCCTTTGTTTTGTAATACGAATATCCTACCTCTAGCCACTGTTGAATAAACACCTGGCATCACTTCATGCCCCATCCGAGCCTGGTGGCTAACTTCTGGCCTTTGGGGACCCCTATTTGGGTCATGAGTTTGTTCACCTTCACAACAGAAATGATGATAAGATTTTATTATTGGTACAATGAAGAATTTCTTTAACCACTCTGAAGTCCAATTAATGAGACAACAATTATAGTAAAACCATCAAGTTAAAAAAAAAAACAACCTGCATTAGTGTTTAGATTAATTCTTTTAGAATTTTAATTTAGATTTATAGAAGAATATTAAGACAGATTCCACTCAAAGTTCGAGCTATAAGTGCAAATATTATTTACTAAAAATCTACTGATACCATGGTAACTTTTTGAATACTATTTAAAACATCTCACTGTTATTAATTTCTCTAACTGACCCTGCGATTAAATTCTCAAGCATTCTCGAAAAAATTAATGTCAAACCTCGTGAGAATGCTTAAGGCGTGTGTTATTGTGTTTACAACTGACATGAAACGTCTGTTTCAATTGAAATATGGATAACTTCAAGTTCAATTTTCTCCTGTGCAGGCAGCTTGAGAACTTAAATCTTGATAGGTTCTTCTTACCTTTACTCAAAATATTACCATGCTATGAGGTTTTTTTCGCACATGTAACTTTATTTTTGCCATTATTGCTCAAATGTTCTGCAGAAATCATCTTAACCTTCACAGATTTTTACAGGTCATAACAATTACTTCATATGATTTACTTTTGGATGAACCAAGGAGGGCTTGTAGCAGATACAGTTAGTCTGCATTTTCAGATAACCTTTGATTATCTCATTGCTTCTTACAATGTCAAAACAATGTCAGCCACAAACAGGGAGAGAACGTTTATAGAACAGAGAAGTAGTTGTCAACTTCATGATATTATCTTGACATCAGGGCTTGAAAAAAGTGTCACTCAGTTATCCGGGACGAGTGGATTTTCCTTCTGGGCAAATAACTTTTCATTCTCACTGGCCCAATGGGTAAGGGCCCAGGCAAGTCATCTGCCAACAAAAAAAAACAACTAAATCTTGCCCAGGTAAGCAAAATTTGAGAGCTGCTTGTCCAAAGGGAAAATTGGAATTCAAGTTTTTTTCAACCCCTGTGATGTCAGGCGCCAACTTTAAAAAATGTTTTGATGTTGGTGTTAGCATGGATAGGAGTAGCTGGCTGTGACAAATTACACTCCATAAGGCTACTCATTCTAGCAGAGGTTGGGGGCATGTACTCCCAGAAAAGTTTGAACTCTACAAGCTTGGATTAATATTAATGCTGTTTCCAGCAGTCTAGTATCAGTTTCTGAAATCAATTCTGAAGAGATCTAATAACAACAGCTGCATTTATTGTACTATTTATTGTACTATTTTTTTTCTTAGATGGCATTTAATGAAACTAGTCATTCCCCGCAAGAAGACAATAAGAATTTCTGAATATTAGTGACCATGGTATCCTACTTTACAAGTATACATGTATGTAGAGCACAAAAATCAAAAATACATGTAACTGTTCACTTTTTGGATCCAAAGAAAACAGTAGACATGCATGTACAGTATTTATTTCAAGTGTAAATTTATGTGTCTTTCTGTTAAAAAACGTTATTGAAACCCCTGATATATACGGGCTATTTCATATATTACCTGGGCGGTGATTTCTGTGATCTGGATCCAGTGTTGCAGTGGACGTCACAGGAGGGGTACGGTTAGGAATCACTCCTGGACTCTGATGATCTCCCCTATCTTTGGTATTCATTTCTGTTTGACTTGCTGATGGTGAGGTTCTGGATGGAGACATTCCTAAAAATAAATGAATAAAGAGATTTAACACTTGACACATTAATGCACCTTTCTCATCTGTAATGGTTGTTTAACAATGACTCTATAATAATTAATATTGACATTGTGTAGTTACAGAAAATGTCCAATACCCACACCATAGAAGGCCACTGGAAATTCCAAGAAGGAAAAGGCTCTCAAAAGCCAAAAAATTTTAAAGGAAATTATGAAGCTAAACTGAAATTTCAGGAGGGGTGAAAATTATGCAGATTGCAAATTTTATTGTGGACAAATTCCTAAGGCAGTAAAGATGACAAGAATACCCTCGTGAAAACAGCACAAAGATGAAATCGAAAGAGGTTTGAGAAGATGAATTGCAAGTGAACTAGAGGTTGGGTGGTGAATTTTGAACGTGTGATGTAATCATGCATAATAAGACCAATTTCGAATGTGAAATTAGAATATTCACCGCTAGGCAAAGCTGTCTTGACTTTTTAAATTCAGTGATAATGACTGTCAAGGAGATACAAAAAACAAAAACATGAATTTTTTTTTTTAGTAAGTTCCACTGGTTTCTATAACGGACAAATTGAGCGGTTGTAGGGATGATTTTGCCTGCCTGGTTAGTCCATCTGGAGGAAACATTTTCTTATAAAGAAGTTCAGTTCAGCATGATGGTTATTGGTAATGAAATAAATACTGTCTTCAGAAATTACATGTAGAGAATTTAATACCCCTTGAATTTTGTTGTTAAAGCCGTAAAGATTCATAAACAATAATATTAACAATTCAACAATTTAATTTGTTAAAAATATTTACAAATTTAATTTTAAAATGCACATGAATTTAATGACTTCCTAATTTCATTTGTTGCCTCAGAAAAAAGCTGGAAAAAGTATGCTTAACATGGAGGATCAACAATTGAAAATTCTCACCTGTACTTTTTCCACTGACAGCAGAGATACTGGGTGAAACAGACTGAGAGCTGCTGTTTGATGGTGCAGGAGATGAGGTTGAAGACGGAACTGGTTTAGCTTGTTTGGCTAATTTTCGAAGGGCTGCTGCGAAACTAGCTTGACCTGCTGACATGGACGGGTCAGTGGACGCAGGTGCTGAATCTTTATTAAGCAACACAGGTTGTATTCCGGGTGACACTGAAGTTGTATAGTGCATGGGGGACGCATTTGAACTCTGGCTGTTGGTATTCAATTTCACTTTCTTGTTTTGCAGCTGGACCAAGCTACCATCACCCTCTTCACTTTCTTCGCTGGAGTCAATGACTATAACCCGTCCCTGGTTGCTAAGTTTCGATTTGCGTCCTTTGATATCACTCTCTTGGAGATTCTTGAAAGAAAACATAGAAACATCAGTGAATTTTATCTCTAGCAGTGAATGATACACATTAAAAAGCCATTTAATGCAGTTCAACTGATTTGAGAGTGCGGTACTCCCAATGCTTGATCTACTATGTAGCAGATCGATGGGGCTGAGGTAACCTACTGTGTTTCCTGTTCCCATTGCATAAATAAAAAATAAGTACTAAATGAATTACAATGTTTAGAGAGGAAGACACATCAGCCTAACCCTTAGCTGGTTTTCATGGTCCTCTATCCTGGTCCAGTTGGAATTTGGAGAGAACCTGGAGAAAAACGCTTGGAGCAAGGCAAGAACTAACGACAAACTCAACCCACATATGACACCGCACCCGAATTGAATACAGGCCACAATGTTGGGAGGCAAGCACTCTCACCACTGCGCCTTCCCTGCTCCCCGAAGTTGCCAAGAAGGGTGCTAAGTGATGTGGCCAGTTGGGCTCCAGTTAATTGTGTCAGGTTAACACTATTAAATTAATTTATAAATTTGCCAAGTTGTGCCCAAGCTAACTAATCACAGATATTTTATGTGTGTCACCCTGACTACTACTACTACTTTTCCAAGGATCTCCTTTCTCTTTCAAACAAGAACGTGACTCAACTCTTAAGCCACTTCCAGCTTCTTGTAGACTCAATTTTCTTTTTTAGCATAGTGACATATATTCACCAAGTAAAACATCACATTGTGTTATACGCATGACATACAGTACATCTTTATTCAACAATTAAATTCGATCATTTTCAGAAATGCTTAGTCTTGCACAAATATGATAAACAAGAAACGTCTCCACTTTCCAAAACTCTCCTCAAAGCAAGTCAATAGAATATTGATCTGCAACTTCCAACAGTAATCAATTCCTCCTGAGAATTATATTAAGCAGCAATGTCAAATAAGAGTTAAGAAAAGAGATATATTGCTTATTTTATAAAAGTAGCGCTAACTTCTCAGCTTAAAGTAACTGAACAGGAAATAATTATAATTATGGTAATCCATAACTTGAGAAGTTTTACCTTGTTTCTTTTGTCTCCTTAATATTTTGGAATTTAGATTAAAAGAGTTGAATTGACTGTGGAAGTGGTACAAAATTTCCAAATATAAAATACACATTGGAGGTAGAAGCAATTTGAGGACTTAGGCATGTAAACTCTGAGCATTGAACTGTACAAAAATACACATGTATATGCAGACTGCATTTTGTGTAAACAAAAGAAAATATACTCAAAATAGCTTGATGATTATCCTGATACACAATTTGTGATCAAAATCCATCAATGAAAACAGGCACAGAGCAAAGGCAATTTATTGTAAAGTTCTTAAAACTGTGTAATTAACTCATGTGGAAAAAATAATGCAAATATATGATTTTTCAATGAAGACAAAAGAAATCTTGTAACCATGTTTGAATGTTAAAGTTTAACAGTGAGAATTTCTTTTAATGCAACAGTGTCTCAAAAAAATGGGAAGGCCTGAACTTATCACTAAATAAAACACCTCAGATCAGTCAATTGTGAAACATCTAATCAACTATTCTGGGGTTGTCCTATATGCAGTTCACAATATCTTTCCCTTGAAGAGCATTAAATTTGCATCAGTCTTTCGTCTGAAACAACAGCTTTCAATCATAACATGTTTCTCCTTTTATACTGTATAAGATAAAGTGGTAAAATATAGCAGAGATAAAACCCCTTAGGATGATTGCAAACAAAATTTTCAAGACATGTATGTAGATATAATTATTGTGTTACAAAAATATTCCAGCCACTAACCTTCTATCTGTCACACCGGTCAGGAGTGTTTGAATGTAATTTAATATGTTTTCATGATTGCTAGCAAAAGTGATTATAAATGGCTATTTCCATTTTAGATTTCTACTGTGAATTACTCATGTAAGAAAGCAATCAACAGTCATTCTTAAGACTTTGTGAACAATAAGGCACAAGCTATACGTCCAGAATTCACAAATTCAGAAATAGAATGATCAGCTTTCCCCTAAAATAAATTACCAAGTACGATGAAGCACCAACAAACAATGGATGTGCCTCATGTTAGAAACAGCCCAGGACATGTGCTTTACAACAACAGACTTCCGACCTCAAAATCAAAGATATTATACTCCACTACAGATGGAAATTTGCCACAGTACTGTAAGCAGAAATATTGGAAGCCATTTGAGTCTAAAGACTTGACTTCACAGATGAGTTGTTTTTTTTAACATGTGCTGTGTTAGCCTGAAACAACACCTTGCATAACCTGCCTTTATCTTCATAGAAGCCTTGAAAAACTTAGCAAAATGTGTGCCTTACCTTTGGGAAAAGTGTCCCAATTATAACAAAGGCTGTAAAAATCAATCCTCTGCCATAATAGAGGTAGATTTCTGTTAGTGATGCACTTAATGATATTCAGCAGCTTAATATATGCTGATATAATAACGGCTTGGTGCAAAATTAAAGCCTATAACTCCTGGCTGTAATATTCTTTTGCCTGATTAGCATAAACTGCCATATGTCTTCTCCAAACACTGGCCTTAATGTGAATTGAAAACGTTTTGAGACAATGATCTAGTCAGTTAATGTCATGCAAAGCATTTCAGCAGGTTTTTTTCTGGTACCTAGTGCTTTCCTTTTGTTCATGACAGCACAACTTATTCAGTATATCAAATTGTTCCCCTGAGAGGCTTACTAAAAGTAACCACAATCACATTTACCCAAGGGAGAAGTAATTCTCTTGCTAAACATCAAAGGATACACATGACAAAAAATATACCTTCTTCAATCTCACCTGAATTTCTTCATTAAAAAAACTTCTTGCACCAACAAACTCAATATTCTCTTCTCTTATCAATAATTCATTTACCATATTGCTTCTTTATTTAGCAAGAGAAGCCAAACCATGCTCTTTCATGCTTGTATCAACAAACATGAAAGACTGCTCTAGAAACCATTGTGCCTCACAAGAATGGACCCAAATCAATTGAGCCAATGTAGAGATGCTAAATCTCCACTGAAATAAAGCTAAATGCTATCAGAGCTTTGGTGTTGCTTTCTTATTTTAGGAGCCACCTGTTCTTTATTGTTCTTTTCATATGCAAATCACCACAATTAACCAACCACGTTAACAACCACCTTTGTGTTTGCTCAGAGAAGTTCTTTGGAGTACTGAATACATTACAATAACTACGTCAGGCAAAACCACCGAGCCAATGATTGCCGTGACATTTAAGTTATTACCACAACATGCAGTGCAGGAAACCTTGATTTCAGAGGCTTAATTTTTAATCCTGACACACAAGGAATGCACACAAATATTTTTTATGTAATTAACAGATAAAAGGGACCACAAAGCATATCTTTTGATAGTATACATGTACTGTTTGGTTTACACACAGTAGTATATTACATATTTTGCCCCCCAAAATAGAAAGTTCTGATGTTTTGATTCTATCATGACCACTGTGAGAACATCAAAATCACCCTAAAGCTTACATCTACTCTGAATTCACATTTTGGGGAAACTTTTATTTACATGAAAACTAATTATAGCAATTGCTTATATAAATTAGACTCATAATGTGTAGAAACTTTGAGATACTGAAATGTATAAAATATTATGATCACTTTTTCTTCAAAAAAAAAATTTGTTTTCTTTGTTTTCTGAATAATGATGTATTAGAGATACATTTTACAAATTACAAAATCACATCTTAAATGGGCTATTTTGAAATACAGGACACATTCACATTGTTTTAAATATTTAAAAATAAGTATGTGTCAGTATAACTCCTTTTTTCTTGAATTTCAAATTTCTGTGAATGTCTTTTAAGGTAAAAGTGTCTAATTTATTATAAGGCAAAAAATGATATTTAAGAAATAGAAAACATGTACTGTGTTTCTATCGAGTTATAGAAACACGAGTGGAAGTTTAGGAGAACAAGAAATGCTGTGGGAACACAAGCCGTAGGTGAGTGTTTCCACAGCTTTTTTGAGTTCTCCCAAACTTTGACTTTGTTTACTTTGATCATCAAAATGTAAATTCTCTTTGCTCATGTCATCATTATGTCAACAGCTTGTGCTAGTTCTGTGTTTCTATCAAGTTATGGAAACACGATTTTTAACCAATCAGCGCACATAGTTTCTTAGGGCTGTTTCCTAGTTTATTTCAAAAATATGATGTACATTATAACAACTGAGACAACTTTTTAATTAGTTTGGAATCAACTTGCAGAGTCAAAGTTGAAAAGGGACATAACGACTGGACCATTATTAACAAAATTGGTACAAGATCAGTGAAACACAAAACATTTCAAATCAAATCATACAGTTTGAAATATGTGTTCTTAAGGATCATCCATCAGCCAGTTGACATAAAAACCCCAAAAGTACCCAGATTTACACGCTCATCTAAATTACAATATTTCTTAATACTTTTAAATCACTGATTTCAATAAATTTCCTTGGAAGATGAATTTTCATTTATTACATGATGTGCTTTTTCCTATTTCCTTTTAAGTCAGACATCATGTATACACTCTTATTTGAAAAATGACCTTCTTTGACTGAAAATGTCCAGGAAAAAGTTTCTGTGAAATACATGTGTTCCATGTAACTTACACTTATTTCATAAGCATTTCCTTTCTTTTGCACCATGAGTTACTAATATATTAAAAATGAGAAGACAGAGTTCATAACATGGAATTACCAACTTTGACCCCTAACTAACTGGAATGACTGATTAAAATAAAACAAAGTATAAAATAATGTACTAAGGAATTGCAAAATAAGTATCATTGCAGATTTCCATTTAAATGCATTTAAACTATTAATTTCTCCCTACTTTTTTTCAAATTCCTCTGAATGTTAGTAAATTTATCCGTAGAATATCATGAATTTATCAGTAAAATATCATGATCTCATTCATTTCCTTATCTAGTAACAAAGTTGACCTTACCATCTAAGCTTATGTACACAAAAAAAGTGTTATGCACAAACGATCAATACGTTAAGCACACTCTTCCCACTTCAGACCAACTTGGTTAATTACTGTTTAATGAGTTTATTTTTCCAACTGTTTACAACCACACTTGATTTCTTTAAAAGCAGATGGAATATTAAACTGTTTAACATAGATCTACAAGCCTTATACTCCTTTTGTTCATGTATTTGTGATTTAAAACAGTTTGATACAGTTAAGGTTGCATCACCAATTTTCCAGCCAAATAACAATTACAAACTTAAGGTAAATTTCCAACACCTTTTAAGATATCATCAAAGACATTGCTCAAGATCAATGGGAATTAATTAGAATTAAACTGCACAATTATTCAAATATATTCTCACCTCATCTTTATCTTGATTGTTCTGTTGCCATGTCAACATACCTAATGCAGCATTAGAATCATCCATAGCTTCGAGATCTCTCTGTACTTCCTTCTGACAACCATCACATAAAACAACATCTCTACCATTGTTAACCACAATTCCAGTTTTTGGTGGGTGGTGATTGGGAGGGAATGTTATGAGTTGTTTGTTTACAGCTCCAGAGAACGTCCTTGACCCTTGTTTAGAACAAAGATAACAGTTTATGGTGGCTACCAGATACTTTCGAAGCCATCTGTTAGAATCCTCACGAATGTCTGATCCTTCATAAGCTTTCCACTGCACCATTAAGTTATTATAACAAATTTCACAGGCAACTGCAGTGCCTTCACTATCTATTGGTTGGGCATGACGAGCAGGTTCTCGAGATGACAGAAAAGGAAAAAATGGTCCTCCATCAGAAATTCCCTTCCCACTATGAGGATAAGAATATAGCTTAAAATGAAATGATGCATTTACAGTAACACCACAGAGAAAACAAACTGAAGAGATATCTAGGTCTTCTGCTATTGCCGCACTCAATTTCAATACATAAGAGCGTTCCTCCTGGGGTACACCATTTTTCTCAAACTCTTCCCATTCTATTCTCAGTTGTGCATGACATTTTTTGCAAACAAACGTCCGGCCTTCAGCATCCAGGTGTCTACTGTCTTTCCGAGGTTTCATTGACGCTATAAAGGGAAAGTAGAAAGTCTCTCTTAGAGGATTGGTGTTTGCTTTGGTATGAACAGGTCTCAAATCGGATTCAGAACACTGCTGACCACAGGTATAACAGGCTATCTTGGTTGATGTTTCTGTTAACCCTGTTACACTTCCTCCCATCTGAACCATAACCTCATTGCGAATCCTGTACTCCCTCTTTTCATCACTGATCCCAGCAGCCTCAAAATGCTTCCACTGTCTATGGAGTGATTTGCGGCATCCGCTACAAGCCCTGGTGAGCCCTTGCTTTGTCAAAGGCATGGCTCCTTCAGGTGTTGGTAGATTGTTTAAAAATGGATAATATGGGTGTCCGGGTGTATGCTTACGAGAATAAAGAAATCTCCCTGATGTCGCAGGCTGCGTTACTCCACAAATGAAGCACACCATGGTTGACAGCTGGGACTGTTGTTCCCTTGGGAGGGAGGGATCAGATCTCAATTGGTACTGTCTCTCACTCAGAGGGGTCAAATTCTTCTGGAAAACTTGCCATTGGCGAAATAAAAATTTTTGACAAGCTTCGCAAACAAGAACTTTTCCAAGGTAGTCCATCTGCTTTGCCACTGTGGGTGGAACATGCCGAGCAAGGCATGGGTAAAACGGTGTCTCGGTTTTGAGCTGTGGCCTGGTGTGAACACTTCTCATAAATTCTTTTGGCTTCCGCCGACTGCAGATGTAGCATGTTTCTAGACCCACAGCACGTCGAGAAGCGAGTGAAGAATTCTCAACAAAAGGGCCAGTCGAGTGTTCAGAAATCGGATTAACACTTCCCAAGTCTGAAGTGGTTGCATTAATATTCCCTTCCGATAGTTCACCAGGAACTATCGTGCATTGTTCTGTACTTTCGGTGTCATAATTCTCTTCAGCCATTGTGTTGTCGTTAGGCATTGATTCCTCTCCCCTGACTTGGCTGTTCGCAACAGGGCTTTGAGCTCGTTCACTGCTTGACTCAGGGCCCGACCTTTTAAGCCAATAAATTCGTTTAATAACTGGAGTGTCGCTTTCTTCGAAAGCGTGCCATTGTTGAGTAAGGAAAGAGAAGCATACCGTACAAGAGTCGATTTGTCCGCTTGCTTTGTCCACCGGTCGAGCTCCCTCAGCCGGCTCGTGATACTCCAAGAAAGGGAAAAACGGCATTTTCCCCGAATTGCGCGATCTGCAGTAAACTGGCCAGTTCGCATTTGATGCACCACAAATAAAACAGATCAGCCCTTTACTCGAAGTTGGCGCCGTTTCGGCAGTGCTTTGATCTTTTACCCCGTTTAATTTAACCATGGCCGGTTAAAATACGCTGATGTAGAACTACCAAAAAACCTCACAGAACCTACAAGAGTGCCAGCGCATCCTAAATTCCATTCAACATCATAACCCGTCAATTTGTGGAGAAAATCCGATTTTATGGCACAACTGTAGCAGTCCGGGCCTTTGTTGTTGATGTTACCCAAGATGCTTTGCAGCCCTATCCACCTGGTTCAGCTGATGTTCATTGACTGACCTTACAACACAACCCACTATACTCACAGGAACGCCGTCGGCGCAACTTAACAGGAATCATTCCTTTCAAACCGCGGAGCTGAAGAAACTTCTGAGTGACAGTTACACAGGTCAAAAGATTTTCAGATCAGGTGGAAAACAAAACGCTGATAACCGAGTAGAAATACCGTTGCCAAGATACCGGCAGACGAGAGCGCGAAATTACACAACCCGGATTTAACACGTATAATACGTGTCAGTTTGAAAGGTCTTTAACCCTTTTGTTAGCGCCACAGATCCACTATCACGTACTACTCAGTTGCGACTTTATTTGAAGGACAGATGCGTAGTTAAATTAATAGAAGTATTTTAAGCTTACTCGAACAGATAATGACGGTCTTTCCGCATTGTTTAGACAAATTTTGTGGAAACGTGACCCGTTCACTCAAACCTTTCATTTACATATCACAAATAGACACTTTTTCAGGTTTTGAAAAAAAAGGTGCATTTTGGCACGAAACTTCGCCGCACGTGCTTAGACAACTTCTTGATCATATCGGAAGTCCTTCACGGAGGTGATAAGGTTCAGTATGGCTGATACGACTGCGCGAGCATGCTGTATGCATTATCAACAATATTGAAAGCAATCTATTGTACTTTAAATCGTGGAAGCGATGTCGATAAGGCGACCACGAAAACAATCCTTCCAAAACGTAATGATTGCCGGGTAAAATAGGGAATTTGTTTACATACAAAACTGATTGTGTTATATGGGTCGCTTGATGCGCGGCCCCAAAGCTGACATGTGTTCTGGCTGTGTTTATGTAATTTTAAAACATAATAATTTTCACTCAGTTAAGAATGCCCTATTGTAGTTTCGACGTTGCAAATAACAGGTGGCAGAAGCAGCTATCAATAAATGGATTTAATGGGGGAATTAACACTTAATCCGATGGTATAAGGATTCTGACTTATACCCCAAGCGAGTTTTGTCTTCTTAAACAATAAAACAAACAAGAAATCCATCAAATCTTTGCCATCTCATCTGATAAAATAAACTAGCTGAAAAAGTTTCTCTTAAAGCAAGAGTTGGAGCCGTAGGAAACGGATATTATAGGGTTTGATGTTTTCCCGACGTTCAATAGTTTCGTCCCTAGTGGCCCGGATCCCTTTTGGTCACGAGATCCAAAACACCGGCGCCTCTGAGGAAGACAATGGACGCGCTAAATGCACCTGGGTAGTTTAAACTGGTTCTCACCAATCAGGTGAAGTCAGTAACAATAAACTCGTACCAAAAATTTTCTCCAAAGGAAATATCTGAGTACGGGCCGGGGACGAAAAATAGAAAGGCAGCTCAAGGAAACCACAACGACAACGGTTACAAGAACGCCACTAACCGAACAAAAAATATAGAGCAAAACAATGGCTGTGCACCTGCGTTATAAATCTTTGTAAAGCATCAAAGTGAAATGACCAAGTTCTGCTTACATGTGTTTAGTCTAGAGCACGCTAAGGGCGGGGGCTAATTTCTCGTATTTCTATCTTTTGGAATTGAAGGCTTGCATTACACATTTAGCCTGAGCAAGTCCTTAGAGCCATAGGCGTATTGAACGGATCTGGAAAGTTGCGAAATTCGTATGTTAAGTATGAATTCCATTTTAACTAGACGTCGTCCTCGGCGTCGGCGTCGTCATTGCTTAAGCTCCCTAACAATAATCCAATAATCCAGACCAGAAGCATATCACCTATATGCTTCTGTCCAGACGTAAAAAAGTTTCTCTTTCAGAGAACAGTACATCTAGGTTCGTTGGTTCTCAAGCCCGGCAGCAAGTGCACGCAAGTTTCCGGTCAGTAAGAATATGGCGTACGACAGGAGAATGATCGATTTTACCTCCCAGTTTACTTTGTTTTCTACACGGAAAAAGTATTACTGAGACTGAAATTTGGAAGTGTTCTTTTTCAGTTTCGCACATAGATTCAAGTTCAATGTCAATTTGACCTTGTGCGGAGGCCAGGCGGTGGGTGACTTCGATATTTGATGTTAAGTTGAAACTGAACACTGGCAATAGACTTTTAAATTTTTCCAAGCATTTTGCTTTTGCTTCAGGTGCTATACATGTATATATCTAATTAGTCATAGCAATTTGAAACGATTGCGTCTCGCCATTTCTTGCCAGGATCCAAACCATGGCCCCACCAAACACGTTTGATATGTCGCCGAAGCGTCAAAAACGCAGTTTGGTCTATTTTAGGGCTTTAATTCAAATTTTCCACCGAGCATCCTCGACCCTTTCATATGGGAGTCCTCGGCAAAAATGTTACCTCGTTTCTGTACGCCTTTCTCCCAGGCCTTCACGGTCAATTGATTTCATCGACGTATCCGATAAATGTCCGAAGCGAACGGTGGCCTCGGACCACGTGACCTGAAAACAATCGACCGCAGGCGAAATAGCGAGGCCTAGGAACTAGGCAATCAAAAAGGTGGGATTAGGTATTTCTCGTACCCAAATTCGGCCAAAACACCAGCCATCAGTGACTTGACATCGCATGATATGATATCCTGACAATGCACATAGCTTCTGATTGGTTACCTCTGCGAATTTGTGTACTGTTAGGCGGCGAATTTTGCCGTTTCGCAACTGCTATGAGGGTAACTGCTTTAGAAAACCGAAAGTACGAAGAAAAAGCGCGAGTGCGCAACAATTGTGGTGCAGCAGCAGCTTTTTTGACGCGAAAGTTGTCCAGTTTAGGGGGTTAGAGCGCTTCTGGACTGGTTTGAGTAAGGCTAGTTTGGGCAAGGTTGGGCTTTAGGATAGAAGTGGTAGGGCTAGGTTTTGTTTTAGGATGGGCTGGATAGGGCTAGGTTTTGAGCTGGGTTAAGAAGAGGTATACATACTCTTTATTTTTGCCATCGTAGGCTAATAATAAATAACTTGCAAACTGCGGTAATAAACATGATGAGAAAACGCATTGTTGGAAAACAAAAATTATATCTTTTTACTTGACTTCCGATAGTAACGACCCTCCGAAAGTAGCAATCCCCCGAAAGTAACGTCAAAAAATCGTTGCCTCTAGTAAATCCCGAAAGTAGCGACCC